AGGAATTCCTTCTACAGAATGCTTACAATATGGCTATGTCATCTTCAGCTGAACAGTCAGTGACTTCACATTCAGGAATCCCCTTGTCCCAAGGGAGAGTATTCCATTGTCTAACAGTGTAATTACTTAGCTGTTGTTATAGAAATGGTTTTAAACATGTTACTAAAACCAGTGCACTTGCATTTAAATACAAGATTTCAATTATCTATAATATTTTAAAGAGTCTGTAGAGGTCCTTCTGATACTTAAATCAGGATAATGGTCTAAATGGCTTTACCTGTATGCCTGAATGCATTTTAATAGTGCTATATAAAACTTACATAGGAATGTTTGGTAATGGTGTCAGATTTAGATATAGTAGTGGTCAGAAGGTCTTTTGGAGAAGATCTTTTGATTTCTGAAATGAGAACCCCTAGAAACTTTTAAAATGCAATTTTTAATAGCCAGGGGAGAATTTTTATGCATTTTGTTGGATAAAGTAATTACCTTTGCATCTTAAGCCATGCTCCAGTATTTACCTACTCCTGGGTCAGTGCTGAACTGAAGAAATTTGCTCAAAGAGGTGGCTATTTCACAAATTGAATTCCAGATGTTATGGGTAGCCTAAATAGCCCTAGAAATGTTCACAAAAATAAGTACCCTAGCATGAGACGAAGTTGATGAAATGATCATTAACTTTTATGTATGCTTTTATGTGTAATTTCAAAGCAGTTGAAAATTTGGACTTTCATTATCTCTTATTTAGAAGTCATATATTATAAGGAAAGGAGTATTTGTTTTAGATATTTCAAAAGATCTGATATTTCATCCATGATATTTCCCCCTCTAACAATGATTACAATCCCTCTTCACCTTAGTAAATGGACCAAATGAGATACTTTTCATCCCTTAATCATAACCTTCTTCAGATTTATTCTAATTCCATAATGGAAAATATCACTGGGCCTGTACTCAAAACTTTGCTTCCTGGCAAGACCTGACAAACCTTCACTATAACTGACATAACTTTATAAGAACACAGAATTCAGACTGAAGAGGAATGACTAGATGGCTGAGCACCTGGGACTTCTCCTTAAAATTAGGTCTTGAGGGGAGCCATCCAATCAACAGGAGTAAGCCTTAGGAGTAGAGGATACTTCCAATGAATGAAGTTCAAGTCTGGAATAAACTTCCAAGATGAGGAGGTTTCTGGGACTTCTGAGTAGAGAGAGTTTGTAGTGTAGCTTGGAGAAAAATGAAAACATAGGGCTTCATGTGCCTATATATTTTGCCAACATTCCATGTACACCTATGCATCTGTGCCAGGAGAAGACCTCGAGTAAAACTTTATGAAAGACTATACTGTTAGATAATGCTATAATAAATACTTCATAAATATTAAAATTTCTAACAATTGAAATAATTGTATACTTTTTTGCCTTCAACTTTTTGTTCACCTCCCTTAGATTTGTATTCTGCAATTTATTAATATTTAATTTTAAACTAATTTTAAAGCAACTTAATTTTTATTCTTTATGTTTGAGTTTTGAAAAAAGTTACAAGCATTTTCTCATAATATTGAGTTACTCAAAAAAAAAACCACATTCCCCTTTGAAGCATCTATATACTTGGCAATAGAAAGGTAGGAGAGATAAGGTATATGACTTGAAATGGCTCATTGACAACCAATCAAATGTTTCCATCTAGTATTTTTTGTTGTATGATGGGAACTTATTTAAAAAAAAAGTTCTGACAAAATATTTTTTTTTTTGCTTAGGCAGTTGGGGTTAAGTGACTTGACCAGGGTCACATAGCTAGTGTTCGGTCTGAGGCCGTATTTGAACTCAGGTCCTCCTGACTTCAAGGCCGGTACTCTATTGCACCACTTAGCTGTTCCCAAAATATTTTATAAAAGAGAAATATTTGTCATTTTGAGAAGCTTTTTTCCAGATTCATATGTAGTTATATTTATTTATTTTATTAATCTTGAAATTGTATAAACTTAACCTTAAAGAAATGCTGATCAAGAGTCATTTTACATATGCATATATGTATATATAATACTCATGTATGCACACACACACACATATGTATATACCAGCATTTTTCTTTTTTGATGAATTGATTAGTAGTAAACATATATGATATGTTTGGAGACCTGGATTAATTCTCCCTCTACATTGCCACATCCAGGCTCTCCTACTACCACCATCATTTATCTCCTCCCTACCACCTCTTCTCCTTTCAGTTTCATTCAGTTCATATTTATAACTCAATCAAGAACCTGTAGTTGATGTATACAGATTTCTGGGACATTCTCTTTCCTTCTTCAATGAGTTCAAAGCCTAGCTCACAGTTTTTCCTCTTCAACTTCTGTCCTCATACTAGGAGATTTAAACGTACTTATTGATAATCTATAACATATCCTAACCTCCCAATTCTTCCATTTATGTATTCCACATAACTTAATCCTCCACCCACAACAGCTATACCTAGACCTTAATTTAGAAAAGCCAATGCCACCCACTCCATCCCAGGCCATTGTCCAGTTATCTTGCCTTATGTCTTGCCACTGGACTTTGATGACTCCAGAGGAGAGAGTGAAGCTGATGGCTTTGCACAGACCTGCCTCACTTAAAATCTAATTTATATGGAAATCAAGATATTGTCTTCATGTCGTCATTGCTCCTCTTTGAGAATAAAAGGCAAACAACATCTAGAGATGGTCATAGGCTTGATCTCGCCATAACTCAAAGGTGTTTCACATCCATGTTCATGAATTCTGAAATTCCTTTATCTGATAATAATCTGTTATCATTTTATTTCTTCCTCTGCCTTTCACATCTAAAACCAAAACAAAACAAACAACCTCCTGACTTCCAAGCTTTTCCACCCTGCAATTCTTTTCTGGGCCATCTCTCCTGCACTGCCTATACTCTCTTCTCTTCTCCATCTTGACACCTTGGTAAGCTAGCTACACTCTACACTACCCCTTTTCTGCTGAGTCTGGCTCTTTATCCTATCTAAAATCTTCCCCTGAAAAACTGCAGCCTTAGATTACTCACATTATCTGCTGTCTTTCCTCCTACACATGTTGCTGAACAAATTTGGACAAAATCCAGTGCTATTTGATCCACTCCAAGTTTACATTACATAATCTCAACTGACTCCTCACTGTAGCAAGATAATCCTAATTGATTACTATCCCACTTAACACAACTGATCTTCTAAATCTTTTCATCCCTCCTCAAACTTATCACATTTGCTCTTCCTGCTCCCATCCCCCATCTCAGCTTAGAAATTTGCCTCATGTTTCACTGAAGAAATTGAAGTCATTTGCAGAGATCTGTCTTCTCACCTCCTTTTCATTAGCACATCACCCAGATGCCTTCCCCTACTCTCTCCTGCTTCACCTTGTTTTACATGAAGAGGAAGACTTTCTCTTAACCAAAGCATATCCTTCTAGATTCATAAGTGATACCATTCTGTATGATCTTCTCCAACAGTTTTCTTTTTACACTAGGTGTCTTCACTTCTGTTCCTCTCACTCCCTTCCTAATTCTGCAGTCTGCAACCTATCCTTTAACCACAATTTCAATCTTCAGAGTCTCTATTCTCTTCACTGCCATATCTAATAGACTTTTTCATTCCTCATCCTTCTTGATATCTCTGTATCATTTGACCCTGTCAATCAACATCTCTGTGATACTCTCTTCTTTCTAGGTTTTCATGACACTGTTCTCTCCTGGTTCTTCTACTTGTCCGATGCTCTTTCTATTTCTTCTTTGCTGAATTTTTTGTCCATGTCATACCACTTTGGAGTCACATGATGGTTTTTCTTAGAGCTTCTTTTCCCTCAATGTTATTGTACTTGGTTATCTCATCAGCATTCATGGCTTCAAATATCATCTCTATGATGACGCTTCTCAAACATACTTACCCTGCCTTAATCTCTCTACTGCCTTCCTTTCTTTATCCTCCCTCTGCCTATTAAACATGTCTCATATAAAACTTAAATTCAACATGTCCCAAATTGATCTTATTATCTTTCCCTCAAACCTTCCCTTCTAACATAGTCCCCATTATTGTAAAGGGTAACATAATCTTCCCAGTGCCCCCCAGCCTCAGAACTTAGGTAACATACTCAATTCCTTATTCCCTCCCACCATTTCCCATATCCAATCATCCTACCAAATTCACCATTGTATCATCTCTCATATATGTCCCCCCTCTCATCTGAAACTGTCCCCACCTTTTTGCAGACCTTTATCACTTCACATCTGGACAATTTTATCAGCTTGCTTTTTGGTCTTCC